AGAAGGATGAAATAATGTATTCATTCATTATCAAAAATCTGTAGGTATGAATTATCGCACTATAATATTTTTTGTTTAGTCATTGTAAAATTATAATTGAATTAAGAATCCATTCATTCATTATCGAAATTCTGTAGATATGAATAGTCTAACAAAATATTCTGGCTTGGCTATTGTTATGAACATGGAACTAGAGTCAAGAGCAGAAGTATGATTTATCCAGTTGGAATATTTGGCTTGATTATGTTATGAACAAGAAATTGGAATTAATAAGGATGCACTGATTAGCCAAATATAATTATAATAGTATATATTTAAATAATATTAATTATATTCCTTTCATCCTTTGAATTGTATACATAACCGAATTTTATGTTTTGTCGTTATGGTTATTATAGTGAATATATTACGTAATAGAGTTTTTTTAACTATTATTTTTTATGTATGCATGTAGGCGCTTATTATTATATAGTAAATAAAACTCGACATCATAGCCTGGTATCGTATCAATAGACTCAAGGGATTATTCCTAATACATAGTAGATTTTTTATCTAGAACTTTACAATTAGAGTGTCCAGATTTATGCGATTTCAGGGATTTTCATTGTTTAAAACAATGAAAAAAATCTCTGAAATTGCAAAAGTCCAAAGCTCTAATTAACAATAGCGATGACAATTGCTTTTATGCATTGATTTACAATCATTTAAACTATTCCCTAAATAAGTTAGTGTCTAGACCTAATATATTTTTGGAAGCTCATTATTGAGAACAAAGAAAAATTCTGCCTCATGCATAATCGAGCACTTTATGCATGCTTTGCGTAAGCGAAATGACAATGCAATATATGAAAATTTAATTTTCTCTTTGTCTAATAATTGTATAATCAATCGTATAATTATAAGTTACATGCTTGTGTCATTTTGTGTTTGATTTATCAAAAAAAAAAAATGGATCTGACACATACACTTGTTTCTTTAATTTTTTTAGAGACACATTTAGAAATATATTTATTAGCAAAAGAATTTAATCAACTCAAAACCTTCTATCAAACAAATAATGATTATGAGTTAGAATTGAAGGAAACATTCGAGACAAAAGAATCTTTTGAAAATATGGAAATTAGAAAAATACAAGACGATAAAGAAATGCAGCAATTTGATAATCAAATTCTTACCCCATTTCAAATCAAAAAATTTCAAAGAATATTTGCTCAACATACTATTAATGAAAGTAATAAAGAGCAAAAAATTAATGAAGAACTAACAATTCTTCTAGATCAGCAGGAAAAGGAGGCTTTTTTTTTAAAACTTCGTATATTAAATTGTTGTAAAACCAAAAAATGTTTAACTAAAATTGATCATGAATTCGCATTTCAAATTTTTGATAACATCTGAAAATTATCCAAGAATGAGTATAACATGTTTATTTTAGGAATGCTTCATGTAATGGCCCGTTCAAAAGATACTTTGCATGGTAAAGTAAAACAATATTTAACAGTTAAATATACTTTAAATAATAACGGAATTTGCGAAAAAGCTTTTCAAACTATATACTCATTGTCAGATAAAAATTGGAGAAGCATTCGTAATCATTATCAAGTTAATGGTATTAAACCAATAGTACATGCACTTTCAGGAAGAAGATCTCACCATGCTTTGTCATTCACAGTCATTTTAAATGTTCTTATATTTATAGTCAATTATGCAAATTGCTATGGGTTGCCATCACCAGGTAAATTTATATATTAGGGTATTCAAATGGATTTGCCTTATTACCAACAATTAGTTTACTAACAGCTTATTTAGCCGACACCACACTGTGACAATTTACTCTAACTCTATGTGATGTTATCTAAACAAACTTTTAGTAAAATGATTGTTATTTTTAATATGTGTCAATTATTTATGGTTTGAAATCTCTTTTTTTTTCTTGCGAATGAAAATTGTATATATTTAATTAATAAAAAATATTTATAGGTCGTCACTTTCGCGAAGATACTATAACTATTACGTATCTTCCAGCAAGTTAGAGTTATGTCGGATTATATCGTACCTATCAATCAAGTTTAGATGAAATCTCTGATTTTAATATTAGTTGATGGTTTTTTATACGAATTTGGAAAAAATATGTATCAGAAATTCGATTTTTATCCCCTCGCAATGATCTCTGTATGCTTTGTAAAAACATGCGATTTAACGCTCAATTCTGGATAGAAAGTGAATGAGATCAAAATGTTTAACAATGGAATGATCATATCAATTGGGCTCATCAAGAGCGAGATTATTACAAGTAAGAAACTTATGGTTAGAAATTGAACTCGAGTAGAATGACTAGACAACCTGAGTAATCTAATAATACTTGGGTGAAGAATTTCTTAACAGGTCCAATCTCTATTAATGATAATAGTTTTTTTTTATAATGATTATTTATTTTATATAAATTTAAAATTTTAGGCGATGTATAGTTAATACAAAACAACAATTGAACTTTTTTAATAATCCATCTATGCTTTTACGTCCAGGAATATCAAATTCTTTGGAGTTTGAGAACCATGTTTCGTGAGACTTTGCAGAAGCTGTACATCTTCCGTTTTCCTCACAACAAGAGGTAATAATTATATTTGAATGGTTTCAAAATTAAATTAAAAAAAAAAAAAAAATAGATAGCGATTTAAAAAATAAATGAAACATATCAGTGTTAATCTTTCAACTGAAATTTACCGTGCGGATATTGCACAACTTGGAAACATTTTATATGTAGAAGATAAAAATAAAAACTACATTTAACTGCTTGGTAATTTGTTCTGTGCAGCCTCCGCATATCTGTTCAAAAAAAAAATTGTGAAAAAATTTTGTTTTCCATAATCTTAGCTGTTAGTAATTAATAATTCATATGACCAGGGTTGTTGGTGGTAACATGAAAAAAGTGACATCAGTAAGGTCACGATGGTAGACAATTGACGAACATAAAACTTGGAAGTTGGTAACTTATATGTAGCACTTACCGGTAACTTATTACCAAAATTATAAATCACCGTAATTGTACAACCCTGCATACAACTCATTTAAACAAGTTATATTTCTGGCAAAGTTATTTTACGCTGATATTCAAAACTTTAACAACTAAATTTCTAGATCGTATCTATATCAGGAAGCACAATTACAGTAGATAATTTAATTGTTATCAGATAAAAGTAGAGATGAGACCGTGATCAATTTTTAATATAGAAAAACCAGATTTTTCTATATAAAAATTAATCGGATCTCATCTCTAATAAAAGTCCTGAAATGCGCCATTAAATTTTAAAAACTTAACTAATACTAAATATTTTTAAATATTAATAATTTTTTGAATATTAATAATTTTTTTTTATCTACTATTTATTTATTTTTTTTTTAAGGAGTCCATTTATTTCAAATCCCTCTATAAAGTTTAAATATTCGGAATATGTGAGGATGCTTTTCCGCGACAGGTATTTATAATTCAACTGGTTTATTAAAAAATCCAGTGCTGCTCACTTCACCAATAGACATTTCACTAAAAGTTCATTTAGTCAACATGCATAGGATTAGGATTAGCATTTGATTAGTTGCAGATATATATTTTTAGTGAATTGTCACTTGACGTGATGTCAGCTAAATAAGCTGTCAGTGAAATGATTGTTGATAAGGTAAGGCGGATCCATTAAAATAATACATTTATATTTTAGAAAAATTATTTAATTAAGGTGTAGTAACTTAGTGTAGTGGTCTAGTCGTCACCCTTTCCAAGTGGCAGGTCTAGAGTTTAAATCCCACAGACGACAAATTTTGAAAAATAGCCTGTACTACGGTTTACAGTTTTCAATTATCGGTTAGATCTAGAAATCTGTAATCTCGGTCATACCATCTAGTTATGGGAGCTTTGGCGCAATAAATCTGAGAAACCGGAATAACCGAAAACCCATTTGGCAAGTCCCGAATTTGGAGGTAGTAGTGATCTTCGACGGTATCACAGAAGGGCTGAATTTGAACCAGAGACCGAGATTGGAGAACTGAACGACCAGGTTTGCTAGCGGAGGACACACCAGCCGAACCGCCGGGTTGTCGCACCGGAGAAAAAGGGCATACGCTCTGAAAGTATGAATCAAGAGGAGGGCGTCTTTCAGGTACTTAAAGCCTGGGCAGACCGACCCTTCTGGGTTGCTAGCTGGAAATAAGGGATGAACTAATAAAGAATCCGGGTAAGGAGATGGTCCAAATGTGGGTATCAGGGTTATTATGAACCGAATAAGGGCAAGGAGTACGTAATGGGCGCCTAGTTAGGAAGGTTGGTGCTTGAGGTATATCCATAGAACAGCAGCACCCCAAAAGGTGGTGTGAGATACGAATACGAAAAGGCAGGCCAATATGTACTAATTAGAAAGAAGTTATAGGAACACGCAGGTGAATACATGTATGGGACATGTACCACTCTGTTAGGTTTACCTCGAGGATAGATTAGCCAGAAATGGTAGGTAAGTCCTAAGGCAGTCAGTAATCCTTTGCCAAGGTGATACAAAATCCATATATAAATGGTGAATAAATTTGGGGTTAGGTGGTTAACCGGTAGTAGTTATAACCAGATGGTTTAAACAGGCACTCCTCTAGTTGGGTTGCAGGTACGGCAGATAGTGTAGAACCTTCGGGTGGACTACTTAAATTAGGCACTCAAAAGGTGCATGTGTGGCTTGATATACCATCATTGTAATTGTGTATAAAACACCGTTTCAAATCCTAATAAAAGCTTT